ACTTTAGTGATATAGACAGTGCCTCAGAAGACGAATACATGGAATCCGATCATACAAGTGATAGTGAGTTATCAGAAGACGGAGCCGAAGGAAATGAAGAGGATTTACCAGCTCAGAATTATTTCTATGGAAAAAATCGTCATAGGTGGAATATTTCGGAAGTTGTACCATCATCACGTACAAGGAAGCACAATATAGTCATTAAAGTACCAACTCTAAGAGGAAAAGCTCATGAATATGGAGAAGAAGCAGCTCCGTTGACGGTTTGGCAGCTTTTGTTCACTGACGACATGTTGGTACATATCGTTAAGTGGACCAATCACAAGCTCAAAGAAATGCGAAAGAGATACAAAAATCAAACCAGCAACCTAAACGACACTGATTTAGTCGAAATAAAGGCACTATTGGGTCTCTTAGTATACGTATATACATCGGTGTTCAACAGCAACCACGAGAACATTGAAACACTTTTTGGCACCGATGGCTCTGGAAGAGATATATTCAGAGCTGTCATGAACATAAAACGATTTGGTATTCTCCTGTCAGCCTTAAGGTTTGATAACCCAGATGACAGGAATGAAAGAAAGAAGCTAGATCCAGTAGCACCAATATCTTTCATTTTTAATAGTTTTATAAAGAACTGTCAAAATGTGTACGGAGTTGGCCAGTCTGTCACTGTCGATGAAATGCTCGTGAGTTTCAGAGGAAGATGTCGATTTAAAATGTATATGCCTGCGAAACCTTGCAAATATGGCATAAAAATTATGGCATTGACGGATGCAAGGAATAGCTACCTCTATAACGCATATATATACTGCGGTAAAGATTCCGATAGTTTCGAACTTCCTGAGGAACACAAGCGGTATTCCAAACCCACACAATCAGTTCTACGTCTCGCGAAGCCTCTGTTTGGAACTAATCGCAACATTACAGCGGACAACTGGTTTACGTCAATAGAATTAATGGATGTCCTATTGAAGAACAAACTGACCTATGTGGGTACAATGAAGAAAAATAAAAGAGAAATTCCTCCGGCATTTTTACCCAACAAATCAAGAGAAGTCGGATCAACAATGTACGGATTTCGAGAAGATTCCACTATTGTGTCTCATGTAAGCAAAAAAAATAAAGCCACAATACTCATATCTTCTATGCACCACAGAAAATATTGTGATCCGGAAACACAGAAACCTGAAATAATAACCTATTACAATGCTAATAAAGGTGGAGTTGATTCTCTTGATGAAAAATGTTCGAAGAGTACCTCAAGTCGCCGTTCGCGTAGGTGGCCACTGGTTATTTTCTACCGACTATTGGATATATCGGTAGTGAACTCGTATATTTTACACCAGTGCTATAAGAAAAATGAATTGCAGAAGGAAAAATCGGTATTTGCTAAGATGTTGGCCGCTAACCTGGTCCGTGAGCATATGGAAAAGCGACTAGAGAGTCCCCGTTTACCTCGGGATTTGCGACTTACGATAAATCGCATCCTTGGCAAATGTGAACATCCAGCAACAGAAGCTGAAAATTTGGTTTTGGAAAAAAGGAAAGCCTGCTTTTTATGTCACCGAACGACCCATCGGATGACCAAATTTTTGTGTGTACAATGTAGGAAGCCTGTATGTCTTCAATGCTCCAAACCCAAATGTATTAGCTGCATAAATATAGGCAATGTTTGAGACTTGCAGTGAATTTTGATTGTGTTCTTTTTGTATTTATTGACTATAATATACTTTCCTTGTTCATTACTTAACTAGAAAATAGAAAAATATTGAGACTTTTCCATAGTTTTAATTTAGTTTCTGAATGTTGCAACAACAGCGTTATTTTTGTATGGTTTTAGCATAGTTAATAAAAATGTTTCTTTTATGTTCTTGTATCATTTTGAAATGAGCATTTTACGTATTAAACACATAAAATAAACATCCAGTATCAGTTGCAGCGAAGTTATTGCTTGCTTTTCGCCTTACTCTAATTTTTTGAACATCTTGAAGTTCGCAGTCTGAGAGACGGCATGTTTCCTTTTGTGTTCCAAAAATTCACGTTTCCTGTTAAGGGTTAAATTGATTAAAGTCCGATTTATAAATCAGTTTACTTGAATCTACGGAAATAGTTTAATTAAACCAAAACGCAACCGTTTAATGAAATTTAATAAACCGTTTACTTAGATTGAGTTCACCAATTTCTTAAACTTGTTTAATTAGCTCGGGTAAAAGTATTTGCCTAGTTCTAATGAATTATTTAATTCAGATTTAAAAGTATATTCGGATAATATTGGAAATTTAAAAAACAAATTGCATCTCACTGAATGATTATGATGATGATTATGATATTATAATTGTGTTTTGAAAAATCTTAAATATAAAAAAATTGGAAACTTGACATAAATATTTGATGTTCATAATAAAAACCTCGAATTTTAGAAATCTAACAAAATTGCAATTTTTTATTTTTATTGTTAGTGAACTTATTATACAGGGTGCGGCAGAGAGGACGGACGTTTTTGGGATGGGTAGTACTCTCCGCCTCCGTCTACGAGAGAGGTGGGGAGGGTGCCGTTTGACTCGTGAGATCCTAGCATTATTTTACCAGTTGTCGTTATGGAGCCTTGGACGGTGGAGCACCGCGTTTTCGCCTATGATTGTTTCGTCCGAAATAATGAGTCAGTCATCGTCGTACAGAGTGAGTTTCGTCGCCACTTCAACATTCATCGGAATAGAGCTGTTCCCTCTAGAAACACCATCCTTTGTTGGGTTGAATCACTTCGCAGGCGTGGTGAACTGATCAACAGAAGACCAAGAGGAGCGCCGCGAACAGTTCGAACTCCTGAAAATGTTGAACGCGTTCGACAGGTCTTTCTTCGCAGTCCGACTCGATCTGCCCGGAAACATGCTGCTGCACTTCGCCTTAGTGATCGTTCGGTAAGGCGAATTTTGCATATGGATCTTCGCTTTCACCCCTACAAATTGGCTATTGTGCAACAGTTACAGCCCGGAGATTATGCACAACGAATGAACTTCGCACGTGAGATGGAAGCACTGTTCGATCAAAATGAGAACCTCATTTTGTTTATAAGTGACGAAGCCCACTTTCACCTAAACAGCATGGTTAACCAGCAGAATTGTCGTTATTGGGCTAATGAAAATCAGCAACAGTTACACGAAATACTGCTGCACAGCCCAAAAGTAACGGTTTGGTGCGCTATATCGCAAACTTGCATCATTGGCCCTTACTTCTTCGAACACGGTAATGATCGTGATATTACCGTGTACTCAGAGCGCTACGTCGACATGATCACCAACTTCTTTCTCCCTGAATTACGACGGCGACGTGTTCCAATCCGACGTGTGTGGTTCCAGCAGGATGGGGCGACCGCCCACAGAGCCCGAGCATCCATGGACGTTATTCGCCTCTCTTCCCTGGTCGCCTTATTTCCAGGTTTGGCGATGTTCATTGGCCTCCTCGGTCCCCAGATTTATCCATATGCGATTTTATCTTATGGGGACACCTCAAGGCTAGAGTATACGCGAACAAGCCCCGAACTCTGGACGAATTGAAGGGCGAAATTCGCGTGGAAGTCGCCCAAGTTGAGAGAGCGATGTTGGAGAGAGTCTACGCGAACTTCCAAGAACGCCTCCAGCACTGCATCAACGATTTCGGCCACCACATGCCTGATGTGATTTTTCACACTTGACTGTCTCAAATGCTGTTTCCTTGTGAACCTGATTCCATCAATAAATTTGTTTTCGAGTAAAAATTAACTATTTTATGATTTTTTAAAACCGTCCATCCTCTCTGCCGCACCCTGTATATGGGATCAAGTTTTCTGATTATCCAAAAACAGTAAGTAGGGAAAGGGATACCGAAACCTGAATAAGGCCACTTGATCATGAGTACAAATATTGTACTCCTAGTTATAATAATAATTATCACTGTTTTATATCAGTATTGCATTCGACGCCTTTACATATATAAATTAATTCGACATCTCTTTAAACAAACTATGATATTCTCACACACTACAAAGTCATGTATCAACAGGAGGCTCCACTTCCCATATAATAATATAAAAGAAAAGTACATCAAGCCCATGTTAAGTACGTGTTTGGTATAAATATCCTTCATTATCCTCAATATCGCTGCATAAACTAAATTTCAATGTTTCCATTCAGTCATGTCAGCAGTGACTCTCTTATAAACAGTGTTTCATTCTGAGCGAGAAATATTCTAACCATGGTTACAGGCCACTAAGCATCTTATGCTCGAGTGTTTCACTTGATCACCATAATTGATCCACTTCGCAGCTACTACACCAACAACGGCAGTATTCGAATATGAGGCTACTCGCGAAATTCACCAATGAAGGGCCGAGACCTGCCTTGTCCGCGATTTAAATAAACAGCTTAACTGTTTTTATTAAAATATTTAGTTATTTTAGATGTACCCCTTTTCTTCATAAAGTTAATTACCTAAACTAATTAAGCAGTTTAATGAAACAGGGATATGCTTTGCTGTTTTCAAGCAAATTAGTTTAATGGTATATTACTTTCAATTAAACTGGTTCCAAAAAATTTTCCAGGAAAACTATTTAACTGGCCACGTTTTCTCATTCTAGCATCCGCCATTCTGGATTCAAAATGGCAGCAGTCGACTCATTTTGTATTGTTACACAAACCAAATGTATGTACCTATGTACAAAATTTCAGCTCAATTGGTTAAGGTTAACTGATTCAGAATTCAGTTCCAAGATTTGCCCCACACACACTAAAATACATACCTACATATTAACAAACAGGTCAAGTTAAATAAGAGCTTATAACATACTAATAGGCCAAGTTTATTTTGAGGACTCATTTTGGAGAGAGGCCTTGTAGTGGCAAAAATTCCCATTTCTTTTATAAGGCTTGGTCGCTGAAAACACTACCAGTAGGTATACAAAATCGATACTCTAATTATCAAACCAACTACCTACCACACAACTAAAACGTTACTATGGAAATATAATATCGAAACAGCCGAAACCTGCCCGTAAATGGCAGTGTGTCACACAATCTATTTGTCACTTCATCTGTGTTAGATTTTAAATTGAAAATTGTGTCACAAATCCATCAAGATGTCCCACCTGGACCTAGTTTCTGACCACTCTAAAGAGAAGCTCGTCGCCCTGCCTAGAGATCTGCTGGACATGCCCAATTTGAAAATGCTGTTTCTGGAGGGAAATTTTTTGACTGAGTTGCCTCCTTCACTTTTCCAAAAGTTGCCTAAGCTGATGTGGCTGGATTTGAGGAATAATGTCCTGGAATCTATACCACCGACCATTGCTTATCATCAGTGCCTTGAAAATCTGCTTCTCACTAATAATAATTTGAGAGCATTGCCTAATGAGCTTGGTAAGTTTCGAATTCTTTTTTGTCCATTTATTTTCAAAAAATCGCAATTATACAGAAAAATTCGGTATCTGCTATACCTTCAGCGCCAAGCTTTGGCCAACTATAGGGACGGAAATTCCTAGTAACACAAATACGACTATTACAGGTATACGCTTGACAGTGAGCACTTTTCTCTACGAAGCCTTCGCAATCATAAGGGAAACTTCTTGTTAGAAATAAAACTTATCCCTCTTAAACTTTCTTCTGATTACATTCTGATGAAACGATCAGAAATGCAGCAGCAGTTTTGCTGGTGCTTTGGATGTCAAAAATATAATATCAACATTATAAAATGTGGCATAACACAACAGATCGCTCCTCAAATACAGGGTGTCCGCAAAGTTGGGGTTTTCCTTTACGCGACGTGTAGATCTTGAAAACATAAGCAATTTTTCTTAGTACCATATACACCAATGTCTTAAGGGAACCGAGATAAAGGGCTCTGCAACATCAAAAATATCTGAATACCGTCCTGTAGCCGCGACCCGGGACATCACCGATTGGTACAAGGTCTCAGCCCGACGGCAGAACTGGGTCGGGGTCAGTGTGTCAGGTCAGTATGCAACCTTCAACCGACGGTTACGGTCACGCATGTAGAGGTAATCGCGTAGACGAGAATCCCTCAACAAGCACTAGAGACGTGGCTAGAGAAGTGCAAGTATCAAAAACTAAAGTGTGGCAAACGCTGCGTGAAGAGGGGCTGCATCCGTTTCACGTCCAACGTGTACAAGCCCTTCAACCTGACGATTTTCCAGCAAGAGTGCGGTTTTGTGAGTGGTCGTTGCATCAACATGACAATAATCCGGACTTTTTGAAGTGCATATTGGTGACAGACGAATCTACGTTCACGCGTAATGGGGTGAATAACTTTCGCAACACTCATGTTTGGTCAGTAGAAAATCCGCACGCTGTCCGTCGGGCACATTTTCAACAAACATTTTCGGTGAATCTTTGGGCTGGCATGGTGAACGGTATGCTCATTGGACCATTTATTCTCCCAAATTGATTGGACGGGATGCAATACCTAGACTTTTTACGCAACATTTTGCCTTCCTTGTTAGAAGATGTGCCATTAAGTGTAAGACAATCAATGTGGTTTCTGCACGATGGTCATATTTGTTACCTCTGTTCGTGCTCTATTGGTCTGCACCACCGCCGGCGTCTGCTCGGTAGCGCATCAGCTGATTTCATTTTCTGTTGGAGCGGTATGATTTCGGGCAGAGACGTACTTAGCCCTTCTCGTCAACTGGAGGGTGAGTACTTTTTCCTTTATTTTTTTTTACTTGGTCGCCCTCGTTTCACTACACATTACTTTTGTTATTTCAAGGGTAGTTGTTTCTGAAAAGGAAAACCCCAACTTTGCGGACACGCTGTATAGTCAAAATCGTTACGGATGACATCACGCAGTCTAGCCTAATGCCTAATCGACAGATAGGCAATTTTCAGCCAAATGGATTTTCGTAAGAGATATATGTAGACATAAAATACCAAAACAGTTCAATTTTTTGGCGGTTTTATAGACTAATGAAGTATTGTTACTTTTATTTTTTAGGCATAGAAAATAAAATGTTTGTCAAGTCCACAATACTTAAATCAACACTTAAATCATTTTTTTGGGTCTTTTTCTCATAAAGTATTATTTGACTAGTAACTGTAATTTTCTTAAGGGATACATTACTCAAAAAAAATTAAGACAGCAAGGAACAAATCCAAATTTTTCAGCGATATTTGACAGGTTATATTTTTGAATCTTTAAGTTTATAAGTTTTAGGGTTGGCCGAAACATTTTAGGGACAACGGTTCTTATGCACATGGACATTTTTTCGCAAAATTTCGGCGTTAGTTCCCGGGCTTGAAAAGAATGTTTTCGTTTTAGGTATTCATATGGACCAGGTTGTGCTTTTATTGAGCTTGATTAACTCTGTTTTTAAAATCTCGATTCGATCATTTTGCGCGGAGATATCTGACTTTGAATGAAAAGGATCCGTTTGACATCGACCACTAATATCTCGGTAACCAGTGATCGCACGTAGAATGTAAGGATATTTCCGAAAACTGGAATAAACCGTCTTTAAGATTTAGTTGCAGTGGTTGGTGAAAATTGTTGTTTCCTTAGTGTTGATTTTAAGAAAGTCAAAAAGTTACTTTTTGCCTTGTTTTGGAAAAGCGACCGCATCTTTGGAACTGCTAATGAGAAGGATAATGTTTTTAGGTTTTTTATATCTCAATGTACCCCTAATAACCCTACACGACAGCAGATTCATCCACTGTGCGGTACGGAAATCAAACGAGCAAAATTTTTGTATCAAAATAATCTGGTTGAAAATGGAAAAAACCTTTTCTTCTCTTTTGGTGCAACTATTGGATATCTGGATATTGGATATTCCAAAAATAAAAATACTATCCAGGGGCGGATACAGAAAATACCTAGTGTTCCATCTGACCGAAATGAGAAAGATCCGACACTGAATTTGCATTATTTTCAAATTTTGACCAATTGGTCCGGAGAAACCGTACAATGGATCGATCTGCCGTTGTGCAGGGTTAGTAACGCACTTGATTGGTGATCACATTCCAATTAAGAGCGTAATTATAACATCCTGCAATAATCATACAAAGTTCGAATCGATTCTAATGAGATAATATTCTACTAATCTCCGGTGCTTTTCAGCGGATCCCTGTCAATTGAAATCGTTGATAGGGTGATCTGTAAACATACGACAACATCCGAAGACTGACTCTGTAATCATAAAACTATTTTTTTTTCGAAAAACAAGTTAGCTCGAAATACATTTACTGGGAAGACTGAATTTTCCCGAAATATTGTTTTTCATTAGCTATAAGAAAACCACATGTAATTTTTTTGAAGTGATTGGCAAGTTTCGATATTGTTCTTCGGCCTCTATTCGCGAATGAACGGTCCCAAAAATCGACGAACGACCAAATAAACTTTAGGTCCGAAAACAACTCCTTTTATATTTGCCCCATTTGTTTTATTGCCCATGATTGTTCTTTGTTATCCGCAAGACTACTTGTCTTTCTTAGTATTTACTCACAGGCTTGAAGGTAGGTAGCTATAATTAGCCTCCGTGACAATGTTGGTTGATACCTCGTAAACACGAGATATTCTGACCGAAGCCACAAATCTGCCTGCTGACTCTTGTTGGTTGCTTCTAAACTGAATCCAAATTCAAGATGAGATCTAAATAATAACAGTTAGCGCCTGATCTTTCGGTAACAGGACAACGCCTCTTATTGGTCAATTCGCCATTAAATTTCAAGCGGCCGCCTGGCGGAATAATGCGCGGGGCAGGGGCAGGGCAGGCAGAGTTGCACTCAGGCCACCGTCCGACGCGTGAATCAGTGGGTGCTCGTGTTTTCGTATTCACCTTGCTTGGTTATTGCTGTTGTTGTTGTTAAGTGCATTTGAGTAATTTGTTAAGTTTCTGTTAAATACTGTCATCTTTGTTTTACAACACGTTGGTGGTAGTCCATCATTCGGAGATAGCCCTGAATGCGGCCCTGTACGCCGTCCTTGCTTTTGGCAATCACGCATCCATTGTATCTTGGGTGTAAATACACTATAGTTGTATCAAGCAATATAATTTTTATTCCTGGTATTGTATGCATGTCTGATTATGTTAGTGTTATGCTGATTTTTATATTGCTACGTTAGTATATTTAACAGATATAGTTGTTTAATATCAATTCAAAATTAATCTTTTCTCAGGTCTGGTACCAAAACTAAAAGCTCTTCAAGTGTCAGAAAATCCTTTGGTATACCCGCCTAGAAAAATCATAGTCGAAGGAACAAAAATGATAAAGAACTTTCTGAAATCTCAATACGAACTTGAACACATACAGGAAATAGAGGCAGATACTGTAGAAGACAAAGACAGCGTGAAGAGCTTGGAATCGGATAACGAGAAAAAGAAGCAGAAAACTGCCCCGAAACGTCGAAAGGGCATAAGTGCGAGTGAGTTGAGGGATAAACTGAGAAGAAAATTAAGTGACCCTATGGAACTACAACCAGCTTTGAATGTAAGACAAATACAGGATCCGTCGCAGTTGCCCACGCTGAAGGAGGAACCGATAAAGATAGTGCATAACGTCAAAAAGGAGGGATCAAGAATATCCCTGAAATCTTATTTTCATAGGTAATTTATATATTTTTGCCACTTAAGTATGGTTCATAAGCAACGGAGTCATCTGGTATAGGGTTTTTCCAAATTAAAACAATGCTCCCCTAGCAGATAAACTACTACCGTGAATTGATATGTTCAACTATGTACCACAAGTGGCTTGTTCTCGTTCACGAGCCACTCCTATCGCAGGTTTGTTAGCTGTGCGTCTGAAAACTTGAATTGAACTACACTCAAGCCATAGGTTGCGCAGCCATGACGTTTTTCTTCTTCCCACGCACCTTTTCCTTAAATTTTGCAATGCATTATGTTTCCTAGCAGCTCGCATTTTTCTCCCCTCATGATGTTTGTGTCCTAGATACTTTCGAATTTTTATTTCATCAACCAGTTCACAGCTTCCGCGAGCACAGCAACAACAAGCTTCGATATTTTATATTTTTGATGCTTGACTCTGTATAATTTTCCATGCCACGACTCCATAAATCAAGATGGAAAAGGCATAACATCGAACCGCCTATATTCTTAGATTTATGTATTTATTTCTATCGCAAAAAGTATTTGCATCCTATTGCCGATTGATCAAGCAATCTCTATTTGTTTCCGCCTACTCGACTGCAATATGCCAATTTAGTTGGTATAAGCAAATTTCTAACTAGTGAAGTGAAGAGGACCATATCTGTGACAAATTCTCACAGATGACGCTACGGTATCTCATTTCATCTCGGATGATTTTCTAGACTCGAGAACACAATATTAGGTAGACCATCTTCAGAGAGAATACGTTAATCAGTGATAGCAGATAACGAAATACTCACCCCCCCCCTTTGCAGGGGCAGGGTCTAATTAGAAGAGGGTGTCATACCTGACGGGTTTGGATCAACAAGTGTTCCCACCAGGTAGTGTAGAATAATTGGTTGAAAAAACGGAACTACTGAGTTATATTTTATATTTTCTATGATTTATAGGCCAAATGGTTTAGATAACATAATTTTTTTTCAGAGTAGGAGAAGATCAATCTGGGAAATTTGATCAAGTCGTAAGAGAAGGATGGCTCAACCAGCTAAGAATTTTGCTAAATGACCAGGAGAGAATAATTCAACAAGAGAGGTAGTATTAGTAGACATTCATTTACTCCATTATATAAGAACAATAACAAGATAGAATGGGTAAATAAATGTTTCAATCCATAGAAGGACAATGCCTGTACATGGATCAGTCGTATGTTGGAATGTGTTCCAAAATCAAAACAAAGAAGTTAAAAGAAGCTTAAAAAAAGCTTATATCAAAGACGTGTATATGTAGAAGATGCTAATTTTTAAGGAATATTTGATATGAATTCAATAATGTGTTGTCTTCCTATTGGGCGTAACCATTCTGATTTCTTTTTGAGATTATGTGTATTTCGAAATTGTTTTAAGTCGTTGGATACGTGTTCATATAATTGTGGAGTTAAACAGAGAAAAGATCGCTCCATTATGGTTTTATGAGGTTTATATCGAGCATCACGGCAATGTGTGATTTTATCGCGCTCACTGACAACTTTGTGATAATGGCTGATAGTATGTAAAAAATGAAGTTGCTGGATATAATTTTGTTTTGTTATATAAATCATTTGTTGAATATCATTTTGGTTTTCCGAACATAATTTTTAAATATTTCGTTTCAAGTACACTGGCCATGCTAATATACCATACCTTAGGTGCGGCTCAATTAAGGCATGATATATAGTAGGTAAAATTTTCTGTCAATATGCCTGTGAGTAGATACATAAACCGACTTGTTTTTTCAATTTTTAGTATCTCATGCGTCTTGCAGGAATTTGAGAGCTCTATCGGACTGGCGTTTCAAAAACAAACACCAAGCTCCGAAGGTTTTCTCCGAAGATGCTGATAATCACTTAGTACCTACAGCACCATATGCAATGAACAAAGATTTTTTGAAAATGCCTACAAGAGAACAGTTGGCCGCACAGTTGAACGAATCGCTCAAAGAAAAAAGACCCTCAAGGTAAACATCTAATATACTTAGGGCTTAAAAGTGTCGTAATGAAGGCTTTTCCCTGTGCAGTGCTTGAGGACCGCTAGTAGTTCGTTTTGCAGCGAGATCTCAAGTAACTCAAAAAACAACTCTGAGATTGGTGCGTTCTGTTTTATTGTGCGTTTCAAGACGTTTCTCATAATTGCCCTTAAAAATGGCATAAGGTAGGTTTACTTTGCACTTCCCACTTAACGGTGTCCTCAGTAAAAAAGTTACCGGCAAGGTTTTGCAGAACAGAACCTTGCGAACCATCACTAACGCACCATGGTATGTCTCCAACGAGACCCTCCACAGAGACCTCGACATCCCTTACCTATGGGACTACATCAAACATCAGGCGCAGTTACGTTATAGTCAAGCGGAATCGCACAGCAACCCTCTGTTGCGTGAGTCAGTAGACTACACAGTCGAGCAAGTTCGCAAGCACACAAGACCGCGGCTCGCACTGTGATCAAAATCAAATCGTGCAATTCTAGATCCAACCAAATTTACGATTTTTACCACACACACCTTCCTAAATTAATTTGTGGATTAATTTAAAATTATCGAATACCAGTTAACAATAGCAAGGCATCCCTTTAACCGGCGCACTTCACCCTCTTTGCTATTCCCCCATCCTTTCTTCTTCCTTTCTTTCTCCCTGACTTCGTTTGGTATCTGAGCAACCAGACCTGACAGAACTACTGACCTACGATCAAAATGGAGTTACACAATAATTCGAGTAGTCAAAGCAACAATGCTTAAGCTATTTCAAATGATTTACTTCTTTTCTTTGCTCTATTTCTTCCTTCCTTTCTTTTTCCCTTTTCCCCTTAGACATGTTTGGTATCTTGGTAGCCAGACCTGACAGACTATCAGACCGACGAGACTTTTAACAAAGAGCGAAGGTCCCACGGACCGCTCTGACGGACAATGACGAATAGAAGAAGAAGTTACCCGCCAACATGTACTACGGGTGAAGTCAGTCGAACAGGCGCAATCGATAGAACCGAAGTCTCCATCCATTTGACGATGTTGCGATCTATAAGCTTCTCCCGTGTCCTACAGATAGTACCGACCATACGATGTTGCTAAGCCTCGCCAGTCAGCGGTCGACCCATACACAGATATATCTTACCTACCTTCCTTGCATTACGTGCGACGCCTGTATTGAAAATATTTCGCTATTTTGTCAGAAGCGGCATAGTGCCAGTCATGTAAGGACACTTAAGAAGAGTGGCACGCTCGCCGGTAAAGCCAGAGAGCTGACTCGCGTATTGAAAATACTTCTCTATCGTTCTAAGTTTTAAGGGCAAATGTACGAGGAAAACTATGTCTAACAGATCAGTAGAATTATCGGGGTTAGAAGTACATATATAAATATACTAACACAAAAAAAATAATATTTACCCTCCGCCATCCCCTACAACTCCCACTTTTTAACCCCTACAATTTTTCAGAAACGAAACGATTTTTCTTTTTCTGTTTTTTGCATGTATCTGCGCAGCCACTGCATCTATCTTCAAAAACTACAAAACATTTTCATACTTCCCATAGCGATAACCTTGTGAGAAAATTCCATCAAAATCCGAGCCGTACTTTCCAAATTACAGTGGGGTCACGGATTAGCAGGCAGATAGACAAACCGACAAAAATGAGTTACATGGAATTTCGTGATGTATGTCACGCAACATAAAAAAAAACATGTCATTTTTGAAGTTATGAAAATGACAATACGTTAGTTTGTTAATTAATATATTTTACATCCTGATGTATACCTGCAACATAATTTCCTGAGATTGTTTTTAGATCTGAAATAGAGCAAAACTCCCACAACTCAAACGTGGAGATGCTTATCAACGATCTGATAGAACAGCTGAAGGAAATAGAAAGCGCACAAAGAACAGGATCAAGGGAAAAGCAATCGCCAAGGTCGGACATACAAGCAACAGAAAATCAAATCAAAACGGTATGTTAAGTGAGAATGCTGCGTTAAATCACTTGTAGAACTCTCCTTTACTTAAAGACAAAAAATAAATATGTATTTAGCATGTATAAAGGTAGAGGTGCATCGCGATTTCGCCTTGTTAGCGCCACCAAAATGGAAGTTGTCAGAATGAACGGCCATTTGTCAAACACCATTTTTAGTAAATTGGCGAGAGAATTAAAGCTTTGTGTTAAGAATTTAATACTTTTTCTAGAGCATAAAACAACATATTTTCGTACTTATTGTTTTATTTATTCAATATAATCTCCTTTTGCTTCAATACACTTGTTACATCGATTTAAACGTGATCCAAATGCCTGATCCAGCCCATTTTGTGGTATTGCCTAGTGCCCGTGTTGAAGCTGTTTGGATGGTCGGAATGTCATCGAAAAAGCATCCTTTCAACTTAAATTTCAATTTAGGAAATAAAGAAAAGTCTCACGATGCGAAATCAAGTGAATAAGGCGGATGATTAAGCACACAAACTCTATTTCGGGCCAAAAATGACGAACAAATCTTGAAACTCGGGACGGACGCGACAGATTCTGGCCATCGAACGCTTTAAAACTTGGAGATAATAGTTGCCAGTAACTGTTTGACCAGGTGGAACAAATTCCTTATGGATAATTCATTTGCTATCGAAGAAGGTGATTTTGTCTTAATTTTTGAAGGCAATGTTCGCGTTTTTCTGGCTTGTGAATTCTCGACTTCCATTCCGCACTTTGAGGCTTGGTTGTCGGATCGTACTGAAAGCACCATGTTTCATCGCCCGCCGTAACGACCGATTTCAGAAAGTTTGGATCATTTCAGGCGGCTGCAACGACTTCTCTGGAATGGGCAACTCTCATTGATTTTTGTTCGTTCGTCAAAGTGTGTGGATAAAATTTAGCACAGACTTTTGTTTTGTGCAAATCCTCGTGAAGAATGGTCCGAATCGTCTCTCGGTTTGTTGATCAGCGCCTCTTCCATCATTCTCAGTGAAGCGTTGCGATCTTTTATAACAAAATCGCGTACTTTTTCAGTTATTTCTGCTTTTCGAATTGAAATTGGCCTTCAGCGTCGCCATATACTTGCTGTATCAACCGGAATGTTTCTGCTGCACTTTTACCAAGCTTTGAAATGAAATTAATGACCGCTTTGTTCCATGATAAAATTTCAACATCGATTACAAAACTAGGTTAAGAGCACCGTCACAACTTAATCATTTGCCATCCGATGTACGAGTACATGAACTAAGATGCGTTGGAAAGAACACTGTACCTTTGTAATGCAACTGAATTTTTACAGATGACGCCACTCGTTGCGGAGATATGACATCAGTCTTAAACATTATTTGTCACACTGTGTATAGTGTAGTCGTTCTCATTTGACATGTCGTAGCAGGCTTGGTTCTCAACGACTCGCATTCCAAGGCATCAGTACTATTTAATGTTGTACCTAGCAATAGCACTGCAGTATTGCGCTGTTTCTAAATATCTCATTTGTATGACATTTCTATCAGCGGTTCTGAAACAGCGTTTCCTTTCCAGATAATGGATATTCAGAAGAAGCTGGTGCAGCTGAAAGGTGGAAGCTACCCAGGAATTTAAACACACTCTTCACAAACATAAAATATTTTATTGTGTTTATAATATTGTACAATATCAAACTAAATAAAATAAAATAAAAACGTCAGTATCAAGCGTTAAGCTAAATAGAATGATAATATAAAAATCACAAATACTTTTTCGTCTTATACATAAGTTTTTCGTACAAGATATAAAGAAATTAAAAAAGCTCAACAATAATGTTTGTTTTTAAAGTAATCAGTCATTTGAATGATGCTAATGGTGATCTTAGAACTGATGTTTCTGGACAATTTATTCTTTCCTTCAACAAAACCAGTTTGATTGATTCCACATTCAATTTTCCAAAAAAAATCATTTGTGATAATACAGAAAAACTTGATCCAGCGGTATTTCAATCTATACCGCAATACCTAAAAAGTACGACCCATCACAATCTTCCCTTTTATCGCTTCATGGGTATTTTCTATAAATCCTAATTTTCCATAGAAGGCGTGTGTGTAGTTATCGTTGGCGTCCATTATAACATGCACTCCAAACGAACCTGAAATAAAACACCATAAGAAGGTCGTACACAATAGGTTCAGAAAAAGTTCCTGACATTTTCCTTCGAATTATCCATAAGCCGTAAACCATTTGTCTGTGTATTTTACTGTATTATCGACTGTAACACATAACAAGTGTCGGTTTAATGCAGAGTTGCCAGTTCGTGTCTTTTACAAAAAAAAAAAATAGATTGTGGCATCATCATTGGGGACTTCTGGTTTTCGGAAATGACCACCAGTTCATAGTCAGTTTATTTGCGTCCTGATGCAATTCCATTTGTACTAAATAACAACGGTTGTTTAGCTGAATTCCAGCAAATAATGGGACATATTATGTGCTCACTCAATTGAAGCTAACAATAAGCTACCGTAACTCATTTTTATCTTAGAAAACAATACCTTGAGATATAGGAAAAATGGGCGTTAGCAGAATTTGCATCTGCATCTAATAAAATGAAACCCAAAAATCTTAATTTTGTAGAAAAAACAGGGCCACAATTCAACAGAAACAAGTTTTTGTAACATTTTCGGGTGAGCAAGTGGCAGAAGCAATTTTAATGAAATTCCATTTTAAATATCAGCCAGCGCCAAGGTGCTTTGTGCTCAATATTTTGTTTATTGTCCCGGTAATAGCAAAATGAACATTATGAATACCGTATGACAAATCCGAACAATAGAGGGCATAACTTTCAAGAACCATAATAATTTTTGTGAACACTAATCTCTTGAAAATTTTTGTTACACTTGCAAAATGCGTAATTACGCTATTTAGGTTTTACTTCTATGTATTTTCCTAGTGTCAGTTCTTTTTGTCCATGTTGAGAACTCTGTGAAACTTATAGCTATGTAAACAGATCTTGAGAATTGTAGTTATGTTCAGCCGTTTTAGCTTTTTAGCGTATAACACCCTTTATTATTCAGACGTTATTAAATCCTTGTAGTATTTTCACTTCTTTCTTATAGTAAGAGTCTGCATATACAGGGTGTTTCTAATTTGGCCCTCACCATTGGGATCTTGGAAACTGTAAGGGATACGAAGTCGCTTAAATGGGGTAGTCAACAAAGTGACACCAAGAAGGTTTCGAAATTCAAAGTACTTCCGTAGAGTAACGGAAAAACTGAATTTTCCCACAATTGTTCTGATTTTTTCCTGACTTTATTTATATTGGGATTTTAAAATAAATTGCACATTAACAGTGCCACGTTTTCTCCTCTACAAGAAGGCATAATCAGAATTTCTATATGACGGTTCGTCTCTTGTCCTCCAGCATCAACTTTATTATTTCTTAAGGACGGTATATTGCATTTTTGCACGGATGAATAGAGTTTTTAATTTTGATTAAAAAAATACATAATACGTCGTACATTGACGTTGTCAACCTTGATTACTTACGAAAATCATAATTTCTTAGGTAGGCCTTGAAATTATCAGAGGTTTGTTTCGATCACCAGATTTATCCCAAAACCACTCTATTTTTTTCTAACTCAATTCGAGATGGGATTTCAAAATAATTTGCATATTGTCATTGTTACTTATTCTCGTCTGCAAGATGGCGTAGTAAAAATTTTCAATTCGACATTTCTTCTTTCGACTTCCATCATCAAATTTGTTTTTTCATACGGACACTATATTGGAATTTTGTACATTTAAATGGACTTTTTAAGCCCTAAATTCAGTGATTGTTAGTTGACCATAAATCTTTTGTTGGATGAAAATTAAAAGGAAATAAAAAGATTTGGTGAATCCTGAATACGAAATGAAAATTTTATTGATGGTAATAACAATTATCACTATAAATAAGCAGAGGTATTCACAGACTTCCAAATTCTGCTGCTAAGATTTCGCAATATCAATGTATGACACATTTTCTAAATCAGAATAAAAATTCTATTCATGTGTGTAAGAATCCAATATGGTGTCTATAAGAAAAATTAGGTTGATGCTGGAGGATAAGAGACGAAACGTCATATTGAAAGTGTGTCGTCTTGTAGAGGAGAAAATGTGGCAGCGTTCATGTGCAATTTATTTTGAAATCCCACCACAAATAAAGTCAGGAGAAAATTAAAACGATTTTGGGAAATTTTGTTTTTACGCCTCTTTCCGGAAGTACTTTCAATTTCAAAACTTTCTAAGCGACATTTTGCTGATTACCTGAATACGCAACTTTGCCCCTAATTAAGTGACTTCGTATCCCTTGAAGTTTCCGAGATCCCAATGGTGAGGGTCGAATTTAAAATAAACTGTATAGGGAAAATATTATTTTCACCTCAGCGCAGTCTGAGTGAGAAAAAGCTGTATCACAAAATCTCCAGAATTCAGTATTTTACTATTTTGTTTATTTTTTCATCAGCTTTGGGTTGGACTTACATAGCTAGAATATATAAATACTGTTTGTGCATACACTTCGAGGCTGGGCGACAGAGGAACAGGGAACAAAAACCGTACTATCCGAGTTTTATTAAAAGTCATTCTTTGTACATTTCTCATGCATAATCACTGCAGACGTTTATTCAGAATTCTAACTATGTATTTACTTCTTCAACTTGTAATTCGATGTGTGGAATCACAGTTCTTCGAATTTATGTTTATATATGAGGATTGAATGGTAATTACTGAGAAAATCTACTTGACATTTTTGGGTGCTGTTATTTTTTCTAGGTGCCCATGTTCTCCACTCTAAAGGAAAATACGGGCACATTTGGACAGTTCGACGAAAAATCCTAGATCATTCTGGTTTACAGCAAATGAACCCCCAACTTTTTCAAAATGATCTACTTCATTCTAAAAAATGTACATTCGAAAAATTATTGTACTTGATTTCAAGCTCTGACAATTTACTGGAAAATTATCTGCTGACTGATTTGACAGTCAGAAGTTTCTGTACGAACAGCGGATTAGTTGTCGGTAATCGGTCTGACCTCCCGCAGCCAACTTCTAACGTTCTTATGTACGTATTAATACAGTCAGCGACGTGTCAGTGACAGCTTACTGCGCAATATATAGTGTATCTAACGAAGCTACAAAGTAATCGTAAACAGTGGTTGATTCGTGATCAACGCGTGGTCCGTTAGCCATGGCGCTCTGTCGGCCTCTTCCTGATGGCTTGTAGCGACGAGCCTCCAGACAAAGTCGCACGGTTGCCACGCTCGGCGAGTTTTCGCCAGAGTGGTTGATCACATTCGCATGGATCACAAATCAATCTGTTGGTGCAATACGTGCAATAACTGTTGTAAAGAACATTATATAACAATAAATGGCATCACAAAGGTATATTCCAATTTGATCCTGCAGCAAATTATGAACGGCATATATACGGAGATGCGAAAACAAGCTCAAAAAGGTGAAGAAAATTTTTGTGCAATCTTTATAGTTAAATTTTCCTAAGAGATAGCATCAGTGAGGGAATTTTTTTCTATTGTCTTATTTTTCACATTAATGCGATGTCGAGGTATGTGGCCCTATCGCAATTGAAAATAAGGTTTCGATAATCCTTCCATAAAGTTTCGATGAGTACATCTGAAATAACCTTGAGATATTCTTCAGGGAAATACAAAAATCTCCTTTTGTGTTTTTTTGTGCAGATTTATCTATTAAAATCCTATCCGCAATCTATTTTCCGTGCACACACCTTCAACCGAATGTATGCATATATGAATATTACCATTTCCAACTTTCACCAAGGTTAATAGGAACCATAACAGCTCCCTACCCTTCCCCCCTATAAGAATATCGATTTGTAGCCTCACATTTCAAGGTTAGACTTCTTGTAATGTTTCTGTTCAACATTCGGCGATTTCTGACAATTTTCCCAATAAAACATGATCATTGTGACATTAAGCCTGGCAACGCTGCATAGTAGAGGGAACTCTCAGCGTCACGTTGATGGTTCGTCACCACGCACAGGATTGTAATCAGTTACGGATACCCGTTTATGAGCGCGAACGTTTTATGCACGTCTTGACTTGATTTTTCTTGCGGAAATTTAATATTAGTCTAAAATGTCTGACACAGATACAGCTGATGAAGTGGTTGAAATCAGCTTAACGTCACCCAGAAAAAGGGCTAAAAAGCTTCATCTTAGCGCAGGTGAAAAAAAATTATTCTAAATATCTACAAGAACCAGATGCAAGAGAATAGTGGATTGGCTATAGAAAAGGTTTGCTGAAATTTCTGGAGTAGGTCGATCAAGTGTTTACAAAATCTTGAAGGAATATAGACAAAATCACTCACTATCTGAGCCAAAAACATATCCAGCGAGAAAAAAAATCATCGAAAAAATAGATGACTTTGACAAAAGTGCCATTAGAAGAAAAGTACATCACTTTTTCTTCAGGAATGAAATACCTACAATAGATAAAATATTGAAGCAAGTGAATGATGATGAGGACCTGCCAAATTTTAAAAGATCTACGTTCCATAAGCTGTTGAAAGAACTAGACTTTCGATTTTTGAAAAGAGGAAGGAATAGTTTATTGATAGAAAAGGAGGAAATTGTTATCTGGAGGAGAGAATACCTTAGAAAAATTAGGCAATTCCGCGCTGAAGGAAGAAAAATTTATTATTTAGACGAAACATGGGTGAACGCGGGGCATACGCAGGGAAAGGT